ATGACATATTGTGTAGCGCCTCTAGCGGCTACTTTCAAGAAACAAAATCTCCATAGAGATTTTTGACGTTTTCGCTAGCGAGCACACCTAACGTAAACTCATGGTAGGTACACTGAAAGAGATCTGACGTCTCACTGACGTTTGACAGTCACAAAAACACGCTCCCGTGCCGCTCTCATACCTCAGGCACTGTCTCATTTAAGCGACAGACCTATAGCAGAGTAAATACAAATGAGTAGGTCATCTTCGAGCGCGGTTTGTACAAAATTCGGCGCAACACCCCGCTAATCCACGCTAAATGTCAGTGTATGCGTGCGCGCCGCATACGTATTGGCGCGCTCACATACAAACCGCGCTTAGTGCGTTTCTATGAAGATGACCTACTCATTTGTATTTACTCTACCTAAAGCACCTATAGTACCAAATATAATCTAGATTTGTTTGTGACATTACATTACAATCAATCATAATCACAATATTAATTATTTATGTAACGAGACGACTCGAGACAAAGAAATGTCATCATCTCAGACAATAACGCTTTCCCATTGGATGGTTACTCAACAGACAGCACATTTCTCGGTCTGTCAGGCCCAGTGCCTAGATTATATAAAATTACGACGGTAAAATAACCACAGAATTTCCCTAACGATGTACAGTCAGCCTCAAATAGTTCGTGGCACCCAAAGTGGCCAGAAGTTGATTACACAACCTTATTCCAATGGACATGTTGACACGACCAATCAATTGACGTACTTTTTAAAACTGTCAAAATAAAACTCTCCCATAGATTTTGTATGGCACTACAAGCAAGTGACGTTACTATTTTGCCAACTCAAATAAACTACTGTTTCAATTACAATGCTACCAAAAATCGTATTTTACAGGTAATTTAAAATTTTTAAGACCAGAATGAAGAGTCCTTTTAGAAAAATTGCGATTTCAAATTATTGGGGAATGGTGTCAAATTGTCCATCTATTGTATCAAAGACGTGTTGCAAACTTATTGGCTACTTTGGGTGTCACGGACTATTTGAAGCTAACTGTACTTAGGTTCTGGATGTTTCTACAATTTGAGTTTTTGTACCTGCTTATTCCTTAAAATTATTAAAATAATTTCATCAAACAATGTGACATCAAACAACATCAAACAATAGTGAGCGCGTTTGATGTAGGTATGTTTAAAAAAATTATGAAAATTTTAGTTTTTGAAAGTTTCCCGCGAGGGGCGCTGTACGTACAATCCGTCATACATTTAATATCATTTTTGACGCGCTCACTAGTGAACTCGTTTGATAACAACTCACACTAGGACCTCAGAACCATATTCCATCATTGATGGTTAGTGACACGTCATTTAAAGTACGGAAAATTGACATAAAAATTGCATTGTTCATTTTATGTCTAGAGGTAGCGTTTTGTTTATGCTCCGCAAAATAGCGATATAAATCGGGATAAACCGCCGTAAACAAGGTTTGCGATCAAAAGATGTATACAAAAGGGGGTTAGTAAAACGATGTAAATCACAGGATATGACGTCATAAAACTTTGATAGGGATTGCTTATGTATTTTCGTATTAAAGCACGCTGCATAAGGCTTGAAAAATCAATACAAATTAAACAGCTTTATAGATGTTATATTGGTTTACACGTAATGGTTTTCGTCACTTTTTGTAGGCAGTATCACACATAGTAACCATTTATCTAATGAGATGGTGGTGTAAATAAAACAGTGTTTTTGCACAGATGAGTGTTACCTGTGACAAGTTCGGTCATCCATAAAATATAGAATACAAATTCTTCTGTCTCCCTTGATCTTTCACCTAAAAAACGTTACAAAAGCACACAAGGAAAATGGGAAATTTCAGCCGCCAGCTGACGCGTCCCATCACACAGCCGCAATATGGAACGGCCTTTCAAATTAAAACATAAAGATGGGACGCTTTTTTTTAAACGTGCGCGTGCTTTGTATTTTTACAACCAGTTCATCTGCGAGGAATGAGTAATTTTTCATTTTAACAATTCTTCAGCATCAAAATCTCAACTTAAATTATGGAGAGTGGATTTACATCGGAATTTAATAATTTATGAGCAATTTCGAAGTGGCGAGGTCAAATAGCTGGTATATTAAATTATTTTCCTTGCTTTGCAACAAAACAAGCAGGGATATGCATACTTAACAGTTTGTTATGAGGGTGCACCAAAATTAACAATGTAAATCGATTTGATGAGCTTGATAAAGGAATTAATTAAGGGCTGAAGGGCTTAATTAGTACAAATGGGTCGATTTTCATTGTTGACAACTTTGGTAAGCTAAATTAAAAAGTTTCATAGACATTATTGAAGATTATTTCAAGATGTAGAAACACTTACCTAGTTACATCGTTGTTTTAAGACTATTGTATTAATCTCATTATGGCTAATATTTATAAAATTCATAATGGTTCGAGCCATTTCGGAAATTCTGTACATTCATTGTGCTTTAACAACGAATCAAACACAAGACCCTAATCACGAGTGTCCATATCTTGATCCCTACTCCAAACGTTGAATTAAGGACATTCACTCCAACAGTCCAGTGATACGGGCACTATACTGTTACAGTTAAACTTAAAACTTTAAACTCTGAAACTGGCATAGTAACGTTTGAGTTAGTGCCGTAGCTAAACTTTTGTAGCACATCAGAGCGCATCTGCTGTTGAAAATCAAAACGTAGTAACTCACGTTTAATATTTTTTTTCAGGAGAACCAAAAACAGATCGATCGAGGTGGAACTGTGTGTTCCTTGTTCGGTGTTCCTTGATCGGCTGCCCTGAATTAAGCCATTAAAGGTAGAGTTATGGCTCCAATACCGACATGTGCTGGATGTCATGCCAACATGTTAAATACATAATCAACTACAATAATGAATTGTACACTTGAGAAACTTTGACGTAAATAAACCCGACTTCGTCCAAAGATTTCTACAACGACCAGTGCCGCGCTTCCCCTACAATAATTCGAGAATACATAAATAATAACATAAAAGTTGCCAACATAGTTGTAAATATTTTTCAAATTTCGAGTTACCAGCTTTTCATTCACACCAGCAGCAGCTCTTTGTGACAGTGCCTGTGACCCGGTTCTATTGATAGGGATTATTATGATTATGATTATGGACTTCATTCGCTTCGTCCGCTTGTTTTGCGTCAAAGTGGCCTGTGATTTAGTTGCTATACTACATTAGTGTGTAAAGCTAGAAAAAAAAATATTTTCAAAAAATCGAGTTACATGGTTTTGCTCCTAAACAGCCAGCAGCTCTTTGTGACATGTGACGGTGACCCGGTTCGATTGAGAGGGACTTAATTAATTCGGACAACTGAAGTTCCTGTCCGCTTGTTTTGCGTCAAAGTGGCCTGTGATTTAGTTGTTAGCCTACTACATTAGTGTGTAAAGTAAGTAAAAAAAATTTTTTTTTTTCAAAAAAATGAGTTACATGGTTTTGCTCCTAAACAGCCAGCAGCTCTTTGTGACATGTGACAGTGACCCGGTTCGATTGAGAGGGACTTCATTAATTCAGACAGCTGAGCCTCCTGTCCGCTTGTTTTGCATCAAAGTGGCCTGTGATTTAGTTGCTACAGTTGCTAGTACCTATTCGTACTACAGCAGGGTGTACGCACATTGTGCGAGTTTGCTGTGTGTTCGCTCATGCCTCAAAAACGCGTAAAGGCTAATTTACATGTAAACCATGATAACATCTATTCTGATTGCAAAACGTTTAGTAGTGTTGCAAAATCGTACCTAATACAACAATATTATTATGCTGATCGCTGTAAAAACTGTGGGCAAACGGGAGACGAGATTCTTTGTCAGTGTTTAAGATAATATAATAAGATTATGGGCAAAAAAAAGAAATCTTTTTTTTTTTTACCCATAATCTCTCATTGGGTGGATTGTAGTATCTTCAAAATACGATATTAATATGCTATAAAAAGTCAGATAAGGCTTCATGCTTAATAAAATTTAAGTTGAATTAAAAAGTAGTGCGATAATTGTTTTTAAAGTTTCATCTTTATTCTATGCCCCCACTGCATCGTAATAATATCCTTTTTCTCACGTTAACAATACATCATTTGCAGGTGAGTGAGAAAGACATAAAAAGTTGAATGTACGTACATGCAGAGGGCAGACCCTTCTAGGGTTATTAAAAGCTGTCAATAGACCACTAAGATTAGCTATCAGTCCCGTTTCAGAACTTCGTAATGGATCCTAAGCTTTTGACCCGTATGTAGGTCAAACTCGGGGGTTTATTGAAGTTCTGTTTTGATAGATTAGGTAATTTGTCCGATCATTTCATCCATGAATACGTCTTGTCAGCGAATCCTTTGTATTTGGAAATCAATTTCAAATTTCTGATTAGTATCTAGGTCCTTTTCAGAGTATCTACTTAAACTAATCCAAAGTGCGAAAAACAATTAATTGAAAAGGACGCGTATCATTGAATACGTAGGCTTTCTACGAGCATTGACCAACTTATTAGGTAGAGGCTTAGATAGAACGTCGTATAAATATAATACAAAATTACGTTGCTATTGCCCGTTTTCACCATCAATCCCTAATTTTTAAGTGACCCCTATGGTAACACATAACATGAATTTTGTTTTGATAGGGTTCTCTTAAAAATTAGGGGTTGGTGGTGAAAACGGGCATAAGTCTAACGAAATGAGTACGAAACCCTGCGCCAAAATACTGCGAGTTGCTTGATACACATGGCCAGTTTTCATAAGGATTTTCTTATTAAGTAAATAATCAAAACTTATAAACAAGTACCATAACAGGTGTATCATAACTGAGTTATGTGTAACTAACTTTCCCCCGGGGCAAACTTGACCTTCACTGGTTGGGTTTTTATTGGCGGTCAAGCTTTAGATCCTGGCTACACTGGAGTTGTAGCGGTGGGAACGAGAGGTAAACTGAGTAACTAAAACTGAGTAAAAGTAACTAAAGTTGCAACGACTTACCTAATAAAGCCATGAAGAACCCGTACAGAACACACATGGTGTGCCCAAACACCCAGCGGTGGAACAGGGCAGAGATGAGAGTGAAGGGATTGCCCAGGACCGACACAGAGAAGTCTGAGCACACCAGGTTGAACAGGATGATGTTCAGAGGCGTCCATAGCTGAAACAAAAAATTAAGGTGTAAAAAATGCATTAGGAACCACTATCATCACTACTATAAAATAAAGTCGCTTTCCGCTGTCTGTCCCTATGTATGCTTAGATCTTTAAAACTACGCAATGGATTTTGATGCGTTTTTTTTTAATAGATAGAGTGATTAATGAGGAAGGTTTATATGTATACTTAGCACCCGTACGAAGCCAAGGCGGGTCGCTAGATTAATAATATTTCGCAATATATCTAAACAAATGATAGTAACAGAAGATTTGCACTACGTCCGATCCGAATCCGATCCGAAGCCGTGAAAATACTATTCGGAATAGACTTAGAAGATTCAATTTCCGTCATCCAATTTCTCCAGTTAGTTTCCTAGATCCATATTTTGACGGATTCAGATCGAACGTAGTACGAAACCGCTCTTAGGTACTATGCAGTTGAGTAGTATTTTGGAGTGAGAAAATCACATGCCGTAGTGGAAATAACTAAGTATGTGTGAATGTACTTTATTCCAATTATGTTCCTGAGGAAAACAGTTTAAAAAGTATAATATAATCTCAAAAACTCTACGAGTATTTATAACTTTTCCTGGATCCGAAAAAAGCTCGTCAAGTTGTTAAAAATACGTAGCTCTTTTATAAAAGTTTACCTATACCTATGTCAAGTCAGCGACTACGCATGAGTGATTCGCACGAAATTCGCCCGTACGAACCGCCACGCACGACCGATCCCGATCCTACAAGCTACGGAGTGCAAAAGCTGAGTGCGAGTTGGTATGCTAGGTACCCGATACATTCAATTATTTCGGTCACGGTTGGTTGTTTGGTTCTCTAAACTAAAGTAATGAAATCAGGGAGGTCGCGTAATTTGACTGAAGGCATCTGAAGGTGAAGTCTCATCTGACATCTCGTAATTTCAGCGTAATTACAGCGATCTACGGATTGACGTCACCAAGTACTTTAATCCGTTTTTATTCAGCTAATTGTTATTTTCGTAGGACTATTGCAAGTAAAATTAAACAACCAAACTTGCTCTTTTTGGGTTAAATCCTTGTCCCCTGTTATTAAATAACCTAAATGGAAAATATTTATTCAAAAACTAGCCACCAGTGGGCCGGCTATTGTTAAATATTTCATCGTTTATATTATCTATATTACAGTGGACTGAGTGTGAGTTTCCATAGTGAGCGCGTTTAAAAAATGTATGAAAATTTTAGTTCTTGAACGTTTCCGCTAGGGTCGCTCTGTACAATCCGTCATACATTACGCGCTCACTACTTAGTGAGCGCATTTGATGAAAACTCACACTCAGCCCTCTGGCGTACTAAAGCTCCTTCGTATTACGTGCAAGCGTGTCAAAACTGCGTCATTTGAGATACGCCTATAATAATAATAGCGACGATTTGCGACGCGAATAATAATAATAATAAATAGCGACACCACGGGGCCAGTTGTTAATCCGAGTGCTCCCGAGAGTCGGTCAAGACCCTCGTCTTCGGCTTGCCGAAGTGGAAACCGAGAGGGTCTGCAGGACTTTCACCTCTGGCTTGCCTTAACCGGCCGGCCAGAGTGGAGTCGCTAGAGCTATAAGCTATAACGCCGCGAGTAACCTCGGAGAAAGCGCAGCACACCTCTCTACACCCCTGAGCTGGCAGACGCCAATGTTGNTGGCTTGCCTTAACCGGCCGGCCAGAGTGGAGTCGCTAGAGCTATAAGCTATAACGCCGCGAGTAACCTCGGAGAAAGCGCAGCACACCTCTCTACACCCCTGAGCTGGCAGACGCCAATGTTGCCCCTCAGTCCGGTCTATACGACTCATGACGCCAGGGGGGGGGGGGCATTTAGTCGCTGGCTAGTCACCGCCTGCCATTTTTTCAGTCCGAGACTATGAACCAGGCAGGTGCCCCGTAGTCTCCATCCATAGCCTAGTAAACAGTCCATCCATCCTTCATCCATAACCCTAGTCCATTCTCCAATAACTGCAATAGCTCCTGTGCACAGGCTGGGGATGGTCTCTGGCTACATCCCATGATAATAGTCAAAGACTAGATCCAGCATGTGCACCACTTTCACTTTTGTCGATTATTTTGCGCTTCAAACGGCCTCTACGTGTTGGATCTGTATCCCCACGCAAGCCTTATAAAGGACCGGGCCACTTTTGACCCGTGAGCTCCAAAGCGTACAAACATAATAAATACTCTTTATTGCACACCAAAGAACAGAACAGAAAGAAAAAGAAACACACAAGGTACAAGTAGGCGGTTTTATCGCTATGAAGCGATATCTTCCAGACAAACCTATGGAGAGGATAGCGAATGTTAGTTAAAGTGCGTTAAACAATAAACATTATACTATTTCCTTTAGAGGGTGAACAACGGTTGAGATATGCATTTAATACCACAACACATTTTGCTGGAATGTTTTCATGAATACATTTGTACGCAGCGTGTCTCTGAAAGAATTTCCACGGACTTACGAGTAAAAAGCTGCTGCTAAAAATACTCGGGTTATCACTTGTGTAGGAGAATGGCACAAGAAATTGACATAATTTTCCTGAAAAATGGAATGGTTAAGGCATGGAAACAAGTAGGCAAATGTTATCTTTTCTCTTTCTTATTGCTATTGAGTGCTTATGACACAAGTATGAATATTACATTAAAAAAAATAGATTCATACTTGCGATAAGTAAATATTGGTATACCTAGTAGTAAACAAGGTGGAAACGATACTCATTTCATTTCAGTACTTTTAACTTAAGATCATAACAACAATGTTAACAGCATTGTTGTGTTCCGGGCAGTTAAGATAGCCAGTTACTCCGTGGTTGAGGATTCTGGGTGAAGCTCGCTTCCACCTTCGGCCTGATCACCACTTACCACCATCAGGTGAGATACAGGCAAAAAGATCTCTATCTCACACGATATTTCTAATTCAAAATACTTATCGAAAAACTGGTACTACACCCTGAAATACTCATACTCAAACTTCACGAGCTTTATCGGTCTCTATCAAACGGTATCAATAATAGCACAGAAATAACTGGATCTATCCGAAAGTTCTATTTCCAACTTCCATGCATAAAGGACGCCACTTCTAACAATAGGTTATGCTTAGATTTTCCTCCATCAGATTCGACCAAACAAGAGTAAATATTAATATGAGAATTCCCATACTGAAACTGTCAATGTGCCAATTATACCAGGAGTTATTCTCGGATAAAAGTTTGGTCGAATCGGGCCTAAGTACATATAATATGAACGTCGGCTCCGTGATAATTTTACAAAATGAAGCGCTAAACGCATGAAAGATTTTAGTCTGTTCATAAGCAGCTTAACGTCATTCGACTGGTAGATACTTCTAAGGACTTTTCTCTTTCACCAGAGCTTTTGCGTCAATCCTACTGACACAAGCAGCTTAAATGTAGCAATGCGGCAATCAAAAACATGTTTTTCTTAGTACTGGTGATAGGTACGACAAATTCATGTACCTATCTGTACCAGCAGCCGGAACGTCATAATGAATCACCATAGGTATCTGGAATGGCTTAAGCCATTGAAGGGATTTGTCAAAAAAATAGAGCTTTTTGTTTTGCAGGTCTCGGATAGATATCTGGTAGATACAGTCATTGAGATTCAACAACTTTTTGAAAGAAAACATTGTTTCAGTTACGTATCTGTTTTTTTTTTAGAATTCAGTGTACCTATTTTTTAAGAAAACGCTTAAAGTCCAGGAATATTCCTCATTTATCTATAAATCTTCGCATATCTGTGAGACTCTATTTTGCTTCAATAATATTAGCCAATTCACGTGAATTGTCCCAAGTCTATTTCGAGCCAGTTTCACCGTTTACTCCGTAATCTACATAAATAGTTTACCTTATTACTTAAACCGCTATTTATCAATTAACCCAACATCGAAGTATTGACTGTTCTCGTAATACCACAGAATACATAATAGTAGCAACAGAAATTGCACTCCTTTGTGTAGGATCAGATGCCGACATTTTAACGTTGATAATAATAATGCAAAATATCCAACGTACATGGTGCATTCGAAATCGCACCTTACTACTACGCTCACAAAAGCGCAATTTTTTTGTGTTCAGAATTGATCTACGTCACAGCTCAAGCGTCAGGGTTGTTTAAGCAAAGTAAAATAAATAAAAACTTAATTTTAAGAAGCATTTTATTGTATTTACGGTTGGTAAACGTTAATCTAGTGGTGTTTGTATTTCGTACCATCTCCAAAGTACCTATTAATAAACTTCAGTGTTGCGATAATTCGAAATTGGACAAACAGTTTTAAAAGGTGTAGTGTCGGAAAATAGACACGGTGAAGTAAAGTTAATGTTTTATTAGCTAAAATAATGTTTTTGCTACAGCTTTTTGACATAAATATTTCAAAGTTATTTAAAAAATGCAGTTATTTTTAATTATTTAAATTACTATCTTTAAATTACAGTTAATTATTATTTTTAAATATTACGATTTTCCATTATAAAGATGAATAACAGTGCTGTTGGAACAATAAACCTTGATTGCGACGATGATCGATCGAGCGTGTATAGGTACGCGTGTGTACACAGGCGCGTGGCGGCCCTGACTGATTTGCAACTTGAAGTTGTCGCGCGCTGTAGGTAATTATCTCGGCCGGCATAGGCGAGTGACGGAGGCCTGGTAATACCCATAAACCAACTTCCAAGTAATGATTACATTGTTGGTGATATCCCCAGAGCTAGCTCCCATTGGAACACTAGTCATCAATGCGAGATCTCAAAACTCAAACACGTGGGACTTATTTGGGTACAGATTAGCACTAGACTGACTTTAGGCACAGACTGCAAACACCGAAATATCGATACTAGTCTCTACACTACATCTATCGATATCTCTAGTATTAAGTAGGTTGTATATAGCCACCTACTCTGTTGCAATACCTCCTAGGTAACTAATTCCCGTTTTCACCATCAATCTCTAATTTTTAAGTGACCCCTATGGTAACACATAACAGGAATTTTGTTTTCACTTAAAAATTAGGGAGTGTTGGTGAAAACGGGCATAAGTCTTAAGCCCATGTCTATGTAATTTCCACCATTAGAAATTGTCACTTTAGTACGCAATAGAGATTTGAATTTGAGTATAAAACACAGTATATCTCCGTCTCTATGTATACTCATAAGCTGAGTTGCACCACGTTATTTTAACCGTGACTTTAACGATAACCGATGTTTTTTGTATGGAGTTTGACAGCCTTTTCACGTTTGTTAAGTTAAAGTAAGAGCCTTAAATTTTAAACTACGCAAAGGACTTTAATTCGGTTCTCAACATAATTAAATAGAGCGATTCAATTCAAGATGTTAATACCATTCTACCCGAGCTAAACAGGGGCGGGTCGTTAGTATTACAATTGTAACTCTACCTGTTACCTTTTCACCCTTAAACTGTTAAACCAATCTAGGGTTATGGCGATAGTTTGACACCCTTGGAAGGATAAAGGATGGTTTTCATCCCTAAAGCATCCCTTGAAGGAGTGAAAAGGGAGGTTGGAAAGTATTTATAGGGTTACTTTCTTCATGTTGACAGATAACTCATAGTTTTCGTAAATATTAATAGAGTATTTTTAGAAAAGTGTCATAGCATTAAAAACTAATTCTGTGACAATACGAAATTCACGCAGACGAAGCCGCGGGAAAAAGCTCATGTCAATATAAATATTTCAGCGCGAATTTAGAATTAGTGAGTGTTACCAGCCCCCAAATAATATTTACCTTATAAAATGTGTTCCTCTTTGAACAAATATTTGGATACAACAACCAAATAGAATCCTTATTCCACTTGTATGGTTTCCATGTTTTATAGTCCAGTCAATGAATGCCTTAACGACGGTGTAGAGAGAAATCCGTGGAACACAATTTCTGACCTCGGGACTTTATTTAGCCTAGTTAGGTGGTGAACATAGCTAAAGTCCCCGCCCTTAGCCCTTGAGCCGGAGGGGAGAGGGGGGTTTAAAGGTACCACTTTTCGGTTTTTCGCTTAATCCTCGGAAACTATGCGTCCTAGTGACATGACTACTATGAACCAAAAAAAGCTTATTCAATTTGCTACAGGTGAGACCGTCAAGTTTTTCTATATATTGTATAGTTTTTGCGGCATCTGCTCTAGAAGGTCTGTAAAATTGGAAATTTTATTGTTGTCTTACATGTTCCTTTCAGGAGAAAATCGACTAAATCAACATTGAGCAAACACTATAGACATGCGGGAGCATGTTAAGCCTAGTTCCATGGAGGGGACTGCACCGTGCGTATATTTAGACGAACCAATTAGAGCCACTTTTAACTCCTCATCATTCAAAAACTACTGTGCATTAACACTTCAAATTTGGCTCATGTATTGAGACTTGCAAGATATACATCAGCTTCAAATTTCATAAATATACCTCAAACGGTTATTTAGGTATTGACGTTCAAAAATCGATATTTAGAGCACTAAAATCTATCTATCACATGTGAAATGTTAAAATTTACTGGTTTTTTATTTGTTCCTTTGTATTTACATAAATACCTTTCTGGATGCCAAATTTGAACCTTCGAGGTCATCTGGAAGTGGTTAGAATTTGGTCTAGAGGTCAGACATGTAGATTTTTGGACGTCAATATCTAAAGAACCGTTTGAGGCATATTTATGAAATTTAAAACTGATGTATATCTTGCAAGTCTCAACACATGAGCCAAATTTGAAGTGTTAATGCACAGTAGTTTTTGAGTGATGAGGAGTCAAAAGTGGCTCCAATTGGTTCGTCTAAATATACGCACGGTGTAGTCCCCTCACTGGAACTAGGCTTAATATGCTCCCGCATGTCTAGAATGATTGCTCAATGTTGATTTAGTCGATTTTCTCCTGATGGGAACATGTAAGACAAAAATAAAATTTCCAATATTACAGACCTTCTAGAGCAGATGCCGAGAAAACTATACAATTTATAGAAAAACTTGACGGTCTCACCTGTAGCAAATTGAATATGCTTTTTTTGGTTCAAAGTAGTCATGTCACTAGGACGCATAGTTTCCCAGGATTAAGCGAAAAACCGAAAAGTGGCACCTTTAAACCCCCCTCTCCCCGCCGGCTCAAGGGCTAAGGGCGGGGACTTTTGCTATGTCACCATATCACCTCCTAACTAGTCTAAATAAAGTCCTGAAGTCAGAAATTGTGTTCTACAGTTTTCCATCTATAATGCTTTATTGACTGGACTATTACATTATTTACGAACGTACACATGTGAAGTATTTGTGTTTCCCTGTGTTGAGTAAATGTTTTATTCTGATGTTGGGTAAATTTATCGTAGAGGTTCTGTTAGTTATTTTTTCGCCTTGTTATCTAAAAGAAAAAGAAAATTTCAAACAACAGAACAACACAAATACAAGGTAATCGTTGGAACATACTTGAAAATGTCTTGAAAGTTACTTTCCTCATAATTATATGCTACTGCTGCATGCAAACACGTACCTAGTAGGTACTATAGCGACTTGCAAGGAACATTTTAAAAGAAAATGTATTTCTACTTTTATTTTAGAAACTGTAAGTACAATTGTTCAGAAGAGATTGCCCGTAGTGATAAAGCCCAAATTGCCCTACTCCAAATCGTTTTATTTGCTGTTACTGTTTTACTTTGTGTGATATGGGTAGAAGGGGTTCCTCTAAAGTGATATCCACACTGAATACGATACTGATTAAGGTATACGGTCGTATATTCACCATTAGTACAGCTGATGGAACTTTTAGCAACCGGACCCTAAGGTGAGTGACCATCATCATTATCATCATTATATTTTAGTCTTCACTGCAGGACGGCTAACCTTTTTAAAAAACAGAGGTAAATGGGAGGATTTGGTCTACATCCCCAAAATCATCATCATCTCAGCCATAGGACGTCCAATGCTGAACATAGGCCTCCCCCAATGCTTTCCATGTTGCCCGGTTGGTAGCGGCCTGCGTCCAACGCCTTCCTACTACCTTTATGATGTCGTCGGTCTACCTTGTGTGTCTATTAATATAAATGATTATGGATAGTAGGTACCTAGTAATAGTATGTGTTTATACAGAACATTTAACATCAATCAGTAATGGAAAATCACTGAACAAATCGTGTGACTAGTAAATTGATCAGTTATTTCATTAATTTTGTACACTTAAGTATACTTACTGCGGCATGAGCGCTTTCAATCAATCGCCTTCTTCTTTTGTGTTAGAGTTCTGTAAGTAGATGAAAACCTATACAGCATTGGTTCGGAATCGTATACGAATTGAAATTCGAATGGTTCAAAAATACAGCCTTGGTGCACAACAATTCGACACGTGTTGACGTGTTCGTGTTCAATATTGTGAATCGAGCTGTTTACTTTAAAGCTGCAAATAAGATATTATAAAGCTCATTATTATCTGCTGGATATGCACATACAAAATTAATTAATTAAAAATATGGAAAGCTGTTGGCCAAACAATTGCCAAACAATTTTCTGATACTTTAAGTACACACGAGACAAAGTAAAATGTGATAATGGTGCTTACTTTAATGAAAACAGTGTGTACGTACCTACTTAGTTTCTTTACATTTGCAATCGTAAATCACGCTCATACTTAGTAAACCTTTCTTAGTAGTCTTTCGTCATCGTAGTGCGCACTCGCTGAAATAATATTTTGTATATCTGAAAGTGTTGTTAATGCTTATACTAAAACGTTTGTTTTTATTTGTATAGAGAACAAAAGTGTCTAGACAAACCTAAAGAGGATTTAGGACGCTATTTGGATCAAATATGTAATTGCTCAATAGTGAATAATATATAAATAAATAAATAAGTATAATATTCAGTACAAAACGTTTTATTAATGGGGATCGGACACTTACTACTCGTACATAGATAAGTACTTTTTATCTAAATATAACTCAAAGGTGACTGACTGACTGACATACTCGTACTGATCTATCAACGCACAGCCCAAACCACTGGAGGGATCGGGCTGAAAGGCATGCAGGTAGATGTTATGACGTAGGCATCCGCTAAGAAAGGATTTTACGAAACTCCACCCCTAAGGGAGTAAAACGGGATCCACGCGTACGAAGTCGCGGGCGGCCGCTAGTTCATAACATAAAACTGCTTATGCCCTTCATACTCGTATGCTTTAAAGTCAGTAAATCATTAATTAAGTTCAGAAACAAAGTGACAACAAATTCTTTTGCATTGTGGATTGTGAAATATTGAAAAAAAAACACTGTAATGAAAAAACTCATAAAACTCATTTGTTTTTGCAAATAGGCTTTTAAAAAGCCCTATTAACCCTACCACTGCTTCGGGACAATAAATGGGCCAGTGCTGAGAAGAAGCAGCGCAGAAACTCAGTCACTATTGTCAGCCTCCTTTTCAAGGGTTTACATTCTTTAAAATATACATACAATGATTGACATGATGATACGAAAGATTCACATTTTTATCTTACCTGGCGGTCCTTGAACATGAGCAGTATCACCAGCAGATTGAGGAAGAATCCGAAGAACCCTATGAGGAATAGAACGAAGGCCGACACCACGTATCCCCATTTGGGCATCAGCAGTGGGAAGCCCTCGTCGAAAGCGCGCACCACCGTGTCATTGAAGCTCTCAGGGTACGACGTCATTGTCACTTCACTTCACTTCACATCACACTATGAGACGCCAAACTCACTTTTCACTTCACACATTTTGAGAGCGACACGAGGCTGCATCTGAAACAAATGAAAGTGACTGTTATTGAGTGCATGCACCTAATTTAAATGTGACAGTATGAATTTGCAACAAAAAATCATAGTAATTGTAGCCTTCCTATAACAATAGGAAAACTATGGTTAAGGTATCATGTTGAAGCCTCTGGTATACAACTAACGAGTGTGAGGAGCAGCGCACGAGTAACTGAATCCTTTGCTAGCTATACCGGCTTCTTCCCGCGACTCCGCTTGAGAAGCTTGAACGTGGCATTCGAGTAGTCACGAAAATGTTGTAGTCACGCAATCAAAATCACTGAATTACTTAAACCCATTTCTCAAAGTTAAGTAAGTAATACCACAGAATAATAATAAGTACTACGTAATAGGTACTACTATTTCACATCACATGATTGAAATTTTTTCTATTCGTTTTTTTATAAAAACTTTTATCCCCTACTTATTGCCCTAAGTCTACATTTCCTAGACTTCCTCTTTCTAGACTCTAGATATATGTAGATGAGTTAAGATTTAATTTATAAGTCTCAGCAAAATCGTTTCAGTAGTTTAGTTCGGGTGACAGACAGAGTTACACATTTATAGTACCTATATGGTGAATTTAGAATGTCATAGGTTATTTGATACTGGATAGTTTGAGACAAGCCTGAAAAGCCTCGCCGCAATGTACCTAACGAGTTTTGAAATTCCTGGAGAACTTTGTGATATCCTGAAACTAAAGTTGTAGATTTTAAAACCCTAATTGAAATAGATACTACAGAGAACCTTTTGAGCTTTATTTATCATCAAATTAAAATGATTATGCCATGTCTAATACGTATCCTTTAGAATAAAATACTACAAATTATGCAAACCAAGCAAAATCGATTTGTTTTTCCATCAGTTTTTATTTTATTTTACATAATACCCAACCCTTTTTACCTTTTTAAATTAAAGAGATTAAAAAATAATGGTCATTAGGCTTTCGTTTTGAAGACGTTCAATGAATTTCAATCAGTTGTAGAACAAAGGCGTAGAAGATTTATATTATAGGTAATGTATTTTGGATATAATAATTACGATGGTATACCTCATCAGACTACATAATAATATTTATTGCAAAAAACCTTCTATTAAAACTACATAAGATAGTGTTTTGTTTGATATGCCGTTGTCAGGTACAAACTTTAACCAAAAAACAACGTATTATTATGTAGAGTCAATATCCCTCGGAAAGTCATTCAAGTTCAAAACATTGACCTAAAAGTCATAGTTTATAAAAATAATATGAAATATTTTATATTACTAAAGTTATATTTTTACCTTAAACAATTTCCACGAAATTCCACAGACAGTCTGCTCTAGCTTACTAATTTGTAGTTAGGTTTATAGTTAGAATGCCTCGAAAAATATATTTGCTTTTATATTTCCAAGAGCATTTATTAATTCTACCCATTCGAAAAGGGTTATCCACGAACTGCTATTAGGACCTGAATAATTACTACACAAAAATTGTCTAGAGCCAACAAAATATTAAACTTCGTTGACCTTTTACTAATCGGACTCCGACTAGAATTGACGTTGAATTTGAGGCACGCCAACTAGTGTAGAGTCAAGCTAAACACTGTGCACCTTATTTATTTGTGATAGGGGTGATTTTCCAACAGTAAATGTTTAGCCTGAGGTGCTGTCAACTTCATCAAGTATTTACGAAACAATCTTGCATGAAAGTTTTGGGCATGCCCGGATCACTTTGACTTTTTGTGTGTACCTAAACAATATTATAAACTTCATTGTGAAGAGAAGCAAGTATTTCAATATTAATTTGTAAATATGAGTAAGTAATACATATTTTGAAAATGTAATGTAGAGCCCTATAACCCATTTAATTAATTATCTTTTGTTAACTTAGACTGGGTTGCACTTGCACTATCTTACTTTAACTTTGACAAACGTCAAAATTCTGTCAAATTCCATACAAAAAACACCGGTTATCGTTAAAGTTACAGTCAAAGTTAGGTGATGTAACTCAGCCTTAGAACAAATATTTTTATATTAATTTTGTATCTGTTATTTTTGAAGTTGTTTGTTTCGACATTAAATTTATGTGTTAAATATTTATTGTTATAACTAGCTGACCCGGCGAACTCTGTTCCGCCTTAAAGGCAATAAATTAGCCGTCGCAATTTTTCCTTATTTGCTCACCGTTTCGACCTACCCTGGACTACGACAAACATTTTAAAACCAAAATCAGCTCAATCGGCCCAGCCGTTCTCGAGTTTTAATCAGACTAACGAACAACAATTCATTTTTATTTATAAAAATATAAGTAGTATAAGTAGGTATGTACTTCTAAGATTTTCATGGTTATACGAAATATAAGTTTGTGATAGGTAGGTACCCATACTCCTGACTCGATCAATCGATTATACGAAATCAATTTTGTATCATTGACTAAGATGATGTTGGCTTTGCCCGAGTGGAATTTTGTCTGTCACAGAAAAACAATATCGCGCGCGTTTTGCTCACCGTTTAGACCTACCCTGGACTACGACAAACATTTTAAAACCAAAATCAGCTCATTCGGCCCAGCCGTTCTCGAGTTTTAATCAGACTAACGAACATCAATTCATTTTTATTTATATAGATAGATAGATATATGATTTTTATCGCACTCTGTTTACTATAATAAAACTTCTACTTGACGTAAAGGTTGAATAGGAGATAATTCCCTATTGCATTTAGCTCGCCATTCGTCTGTTGTCTTTAGTATTTTTTTACGTTAGTAAGAGGCGACAATATTTTTATATTGGGTCATGTAACATTTTCGGTTTTGGAGGCGCACTCAATCAGAAGTTGGTAATTGGTTTTCCGAATGTTTTTCAATACCGGTTAATTGATTTAAAGCTCGCCCAAATCTGTTTTGTGATTTGGAAAATTTAGGCAAATGTACATTTCCTGTTAAAAATGTTAACATAGAAACAAATTACTGAATCCCAAACATTGAGTTAAAAAGGTTAATAAATAGAATAACGGGTTTTTCTATTATTTGTTCACCATTGAAAATAATTAAAACCTTTTCAAAAACTTTTTTATGTATTTGCTTATGAATACGTATATTATTTTCGGATGATACTTTTTTTTATTGTAGTCATTTCAGTCTGCACAAAAACCTACCAAGTTTTTTATCGCATTTTATTTTACCTGACGCTGCCAGGATAATGGATAATGCACATAGAGTTCACAAGAAAACATAATCTCTCCATCGGACTATTGACTCTGCTATTGATCACTTAACCTATCAATTATCCTCTAAGTTGATTAGCCATTTATTATGAAAGTAATATACTGATTACCTCCCATAAAACCTGTTCCCAAGCGAGCAATAAATGAACATGTAAGCTGTATTACTTAGGTAAGCTTCTTGCTTTATTAATTATACGAGTAATAGAACATTGCTATTTAATAACCATCTACGTAGATCATCCTATTAATCGTATATTAATACTTATTAAATGGTTATAAACCAATTACTTATCAATGTGCTTAATTATTACTTACTACGATGTACGATTAATGTTACGATACCAACGATATAGGTACAATAAAATTTTAGTTATTTTATATCGTTTATATCGTTGACATTTTATTTTATAGCTTCTAATATCATGTTAAGTACAGCTCTAGTTTTGAAATACAAGGAATTATTAACATTTTCTGAACTTCAATGTTGTTATTTAAAAAAACATTGCCCCTATTAAGCAGCGCATTTTAACTATTTCTTCACAAACAAAGAAATTGATGTGACATAATTATAAGACCCGCATTTCAAGATTTGATTTAATTAAAATCAAAATCCGTCAGGTTGTTTATAAAGGCGTGAAAAAAAGGCTTAGCATTTAAATTAAAAGTGTCCTTATATCGATTTCCTAACTACAATGTCCCTTACAGCAACCGCAATGTCAACCGCAGCTTGTACTTTGAAACTGATACGAACATTCAGTGCCACAATAACGTCATACTAATATAATAATGGCTGTATACCTACTATACCACTTGTATACGTACGTTTATAGTATGAGAAAAATAGAAGTGCACCCAAGTCTTAAAATGTAAGTAGGTAGGTATGGCACGCTACGTTTCACCCACAAGCTTTGCACTCTCTGATTATTTTGCTTTTCTTCACCGAATTTGTTATTTTTGCAAAAGTAAACAAATGCTATCTCTATACTTTAAATTCCTTAAACGTCATGATGTTTGCCTTAAATAAAGAAAAATATAATCATTTAATCATTTATTTGCCTTAAATAGGTGGTTACAGAGTAGTTCTTGTTTGATATAATGTTACTTAAGACCTATTTAGTCATAGCCTATGTCATGCAAATATAAAGAATGGTTACAGAGTATAAAGAATGTAAGAAAAGCTTAGTTCTAAGACGTGAAAACGTTACACGCAGATCAAGTTACACAAGTAATACTACAAGCATTTGTAGTATTTGTTTGGATTGTTGTACCTACGATACGTCTAGCTAGTACCTAAAGAGGATTTCTGAATTTCTGAAGCAATCAATTTCCTGAACTTATTCCCTAGTGGTTGCGGCTACTTTTGTCTGAATATGCACAATTCCAAAGGGATACGTGATCATCTCTCTGTTAAGTTTCTTTTTCAAAAGATCAATAATTGTGATTACATTAAAAGTATATTCGAGATTAATATGAGCAGCATTTAATTTTGTGAATTTCAGGTGTAGGAACCCATGTGATTTTCATAGCTAGCTCTCGAAGTTTCAAGAATCCCCATTCTATGTAGGCAGATCCTCGAAACATGATTATAAAAATACAAAGGTACAACGTACCCAATTAGGACAATGTCAAAACTTATTCCAAAACTTAATCAGTTTGAAATACATACGACTCAATTAGTGACTTCATATGAAACCCTTCCAGTTACTCATAGCTGGTAGGTACTACATGACATGTCATGTACAAAAAACTAGTAAGACTGTTTAAACTTCTAAACTAATTTC